AACTTTGTCCATTACTCAACATTCAACAGAGACGCCAGGAGGTCCCGTCTTCCCATTGGTTTGCGGTTTCAGGAGGCGAGAAAATCTCCTGGTGTGGCGCTAGCGGTTTTCAAAATATATTGTGTTCTGGTGTATTACAACTGACTAAAGTTGCCAAAGCTGCACGAAATGACAATTTGGCGTTTTGGATAATAAATAACTTATTAGACGTCTTGGTGTGCCGTATTTCTAAGTATTTGTATTTTGACGAGCCCTACGGCCTCGTCAAAATACGGCACAACTCTTAAAGTACTCAGCGATACTACACAACAAAACGTCTTAGGAAATATGAGTTTATTATCAACAAGTAATAACATGATTCGCTCTCGTGGAATTTGGGATAAGTCAGCACTCAAAATGTTAACGCACAACTCTAAAAATACTCAGCGACACTACACAGCAAAACGTCTCATGAGATATAAGTACATTATCAACACGTAACAACATGGTACTTTCTCATGGAATTCGGGATAGGTCAGCACTCAAAATGTTATAGACTGAGACAGCAAACTACACCCACAATACTGGCTCGTGCAATTTGGATAACCGTTGAAAAATTACTCGTGCGGATTAAACGCGAATTGCATTCGAATCATGTGATTATACATACCTTATAAGCACTCGAACGAAATTTCAAAGCAGTCTACTAAGGTCTCACATGTATACACCTATTTTTGAGATGCTTCTGTTTGGAAGCATTTGATATGAGAATGATTTTTTTCAATATTCTCATGTTCAAATATTTTGCACATAGGCTTTTTTTTTTAAGTTAGATGGTCTTAGATATTCATTATTATAGTGTTTAAGCAAATGAATTCGTGGCTATTTCTCGTCTGTTATAAATATGAAATTTCGTCTTCCCTCCTTAGGCCTTTTCTGTTCTCTCAGAAGCAATGGAGGAAGATACCAGAAAAAAAGAAGCTCTTTTGATTTTTTACTCCGAAGCAGAAACTTGTTTTGGTCATCTGGATGACAAAATGTTAAATTTGCTGTCGATGAATGTGGGGGACGTGAAAGAGAGAATGAGAAACCACAGGCCGCGCATGAAGCAGAGATAATACTTCCTTTTAGGGGCAGGTAAATTGTTGGAAATAGGAGGATGAATTTGATAAGTTAATAATTAAGTAATTCAGCTACACTGGATCTGAATTTTAATAAATTAATTGCCAGTAACCGGATCCTTGCGTTTGCGCAAAGATTTCTGGGATCGCCACGGGACAAACATTACTGCCTTTTATAAAGAAATGTATGGCGAAAAGCAGTTTCGATGTTCAACAAAACGATTTTTGAGAGAGATCAACGCATTTTCGCCGCAATTTCATTATAGAGGGATTAAGATAATACAAGGTCGGTGTACGTATTGGTGGGAATTACCCCGAAATATGTTATAAAATATATAGATAGACTTCTCTTCTTGAGTAAGGTATATCTTGAAATCGTTATATTGAGATCGTTGTATTAAAATTATCTTAATCCATCTATAATAAAACAGCGGCGAAGAAGCGTTGATCTTTCCCAAAAATCGGTTTGTTGAACATCGAAACTGCTTTTTGCCATGCATTTCTTTCTAGCGGGCTTCAATGTTTGCCCCGTGGCGATCCCAGAGATCTTTGCGCAAACGCTAGGATCCGGCTACTGGCAACTCATACATTACAGTATACCTCAGTGACCTCGTAAAGGAAGTTAGTCAGCTCAACAAGATATTCAAAAGTCTTAATGAACTTAAATGAACAGATGTAATATTGCGCTGCTATAGAAAAAGAGGCAAGACATAGTGATATGATCGTACATACAAGAGAAACTTTTAATTAGTTAATTGTTTTTGTAGCCATACCTAGAGCACTAAGAAAAATAACACATCTTGTAAATTGTTATGAAAACGTACCTGAAACTAGGCCTGCATCTTCGGTCAGAATTTAAGCCAAGTTCCTGAAATTAAGCTCTAGAGCCAATGTTTTGTCATTTCACTCAAGGTGAAACAGGTGCGGGAAAAATAGTGGTGGACTTTATTTTGGGCGAATAACTTAAGCTCCAAAATTTAATCTACAGAGGCAGTGTTTTTCATTTGACTCAAGGTGAAACAGATGCAGGAAAAAGTAGTCTGGTGAACCTCATTCTTGGCGAAGACCTTCCTTACTCCTTTCTAAGTACAACTTCCACCATCTGTGAAATAAAGTACGGAAAAGAACGCAAAGTTGTGGTCCACTTCAATGACAAAGACCCTGAAACGGAATTGCCGACAAAAAACTTTACCCTCCGTAAAGGAGCAGGTGGACAAAGCTATCTTGAGCAGATCTCTACCTATGTCCATTTGAAGGGCCACCACGAAAAATGTTCAATTTACAAGAGGGTTGAACTCTTTTGGCCTCACCAACTTTTGAAGGTAATTTATTTGGATCTTAGAATATTAATCAGTAAACTCTTCGGCAAGAAGAAGGAAGCCGTTTCAAAGAATCCTAAAGGTGTCCCCTGATTTGTGAATTAGACTTTTCAGTTACAACTAAAATGAAACACTCGTTACCACGCAAGAAACAAAATGGTATGGTTGAAAATTTAACTCGAGTGTGAAAAGATTTGAATTCAATTGCAATAAATAAATCAAGTTCTTTTGTTTCAATTTCAAGTTGTCTAAACTCTAGGGGATCATTATTGTAATTTAGTATTATATGGATAATTTTTGAACTCTAAACTGTAATGAACGTTTTGGGGTCCCTCCCTTCTCTCTCGATTAGTATCAATAAAGATGGTCGAGGCAAATGGTCATTTTTTTTTTTAGAATGGTATAGTCATCATTGATAGTCCTGGTGTTGGAGAATCTACTATCATGGACGAAATAGTCACGGAATACTTGCTAAGAGCTTTTGTCTTCATCTACGTTATCAACAGTGCAAACGCTGGCGGAATTCAGGAGAACAGAGTAAGTTTTTTTTTTTTTTAAATACTCATGAATATCAGGCATGCTTTGATGATGCAATGATGCTCATGTGGATGATTATGAAGAACCGCATGAGCCGAGTGGTAATTTTTGACTGTGACTAAAGGCAAAAACGTATTTTCGCCCCCCGGTAACTTATGTCACGTTAATTATTATTTTAAATCGTATTTTGTGTTTACCAGAATTCGTAGAATAGGTAGCAGGGTAAAAGAAAAAAAAAAACACCTCTTTAAGCGGGACGTAAAATGTTTGAAAGGTATTTTGTCTCAGATCCACAGCAATTTTCAAAGAGTTTCTGCTTTCGCAGATTCAATGGGGCCGGGAAATATTTTATCGTCACAATTCGAGGTGGCGTTACACGTAGGTGAACCAGAGCTTTCAGATTCCTACAGTTCGTGGAAAAATTCTTTACAAATGTTAACGTCAAGTGTATGTCGCTCCACTTCATAGCCTGAATAACACTCAGGGGGAAAAAGTAAATCAAGGTAAATAAAGGTTACCCGCTGAACATACCTAGATAATTTTTCAATTGCAGCTGGAAAAGTTGTTGACAGATGTTGTTGGAAAACGGAAAGAGGGGCAAGAAGAGTTTCCACCCAAGTGTGCTTTATTCGTCGTAATAAGTTGGACCAATTTCCAAAAGAAGAAGTCGAAGAAGTAAAGAGCTACGTTATCAAAGAATTTAAGAAATGCTGGCCTGGTCTTGATCCAGAGTCGCAAATCGTCTTTATGTCAACTAAGGTGGCCAACATTGCTCAAAGACATGGAATCATCACCGAAGATTTGTGCTCTCTAATGACTGGGGTCAGGTCTATGGTAACCAGAACCATAGAGGCTAGACTTGAAATTCATTGGAAGTAAGCAATAAAACATGAGGTTAAATTTCTTTATTTTATGGTGTAACGCGGAATATACAGTTCAGTGTAGGTTATCTTCAGAGAAAACAGCACACAAAAATGAAGACCACCACTGATGGATTGAGATTTTTCCATTTTGTTAGATTAAAAAAAAACATGCAAATCTCTTTCCCAACTACTTTTGAGCAGATAATTCTTTGCTTAGTTCCTGGTACAAACAAAAGAATGACTATTCACGTTCCAATATATACATCTATTTTGAAGGCGGTTAGACGAGCTGCTATCCCGGATAGCTTATCATGCTGCCGCCTATGTGAAAAACGCTTCAAGAGACAACGAGAAAAACGAAACATTGATGGCCTTAATTCATATCCGTTTAGTGCTAATAGAGCGACAGCAAAACGAGGTGATGGGAGATCTACGCAGCCATTTGAAAGATCGCACAGACAAAGCTGTACAGAGGCTCTCCGACTATCTCCAGTCGGATAGTGTAAAATCGAGTTTCACGCATGGACTGTGGACGAAGTTCCAAAAGCAGAAACCTCCTGGGAATTAACAATGAACAGCATCAGAAAAGTGTTGGAAAGGCGCCTACGAAATATCATAGAGAACTGGGAAGAAGGCAACCACGTGTTCACAAATACTCGAGAATCAATTCTGGAGTACTTTCAAACGAAATACAACTTTATTTCGGGAGAACTCCGAAATCTACAAAGCGCAGTCACATCTGACGAAGTTCTGCTGGAAAGTGTTGTTCTTAGTAAAGCAAGTCTCTTTACCCTCATGGAAAAGTTTGCCAACAGTGTTACAACCCCGCTCTGGGCCCAACTCTGGGCCCCACCTGGTCTTGTTGCCCATATTATCCGTGCTCCAGTAGTCGGCTTCATGGCCATCAAGAGCAAGTTAGAAGATAAAAGCAAAATTAAGAAGTACGAACTAGACAAGTGTGCTTTTATGGCTACGGCGTCTGCACACTACTTGAACGAGGCGTTAAAATAAACTACCCTCATTTCCTTTGTGAAGTGCCAATTGAATGATGCCAAACTTTGTCTGAAGCAAATTGAGGCCCGCATTCCAGAGTTGATTCAGGCTGACATTGAGGCCTGCAAACAGCTCAAGAATGAAACACGTTCAAAGAAGCAAATAATACAAATCAAATCTATCAGCCAATGCTGGATAGGGCTGTTAAGATCAGAGGTAGTCTTGCCATTTTCGGGCGCAAAGAGGTCCGTGGTGTTGATGTCAGCCGCAAGGAATTGGACTGGAAAGAGGAAGATCTTCTTAGCAGCGGTGCGTTTGCCTTTGTTTACAGAGGAAAAATTAAAACCGAAGTCGAAGAGGAGCGAAGTGTGGCATTGAAAGTTTGTCGCGAATCGCTTAATCCCAGAAATGCAAGCCTTATCCTGAATGAAATTTAACTTCTAAGGTAAGTTATCAGCTTTTCTAGTCATTTAAAACTATTATAATTCATGGACTTTCGAGAACCGTGGGTTCAAATATCCACCAAACCTTTTTCGTCATTATTATTGGGAACCATCTACTTTATGCAGTCCTGATTATTTTTTTCTCCGTATAATTTGACCAGCCGCAGCAAGGTTCTCGCATAGTTGAAATGAGGAAAACAGCGGGAGTCCGAAAAATAGAGGGGGATCAAGCAAATAAAAACACACATGTTGGGAGAGATAGTCTCTAAGATTTGAATCAAAGTATCAATTCGGCCTAATTATGCACCTGTCCCAGAAAACCATTGGTTCTTTAATCATAATGGAAATGAATTTACTTTACAGTCTCCATTTCTCCGTTTCCCTTCGTCGTTGAGGTCTCGTCAGTCTTCAATTTCTTCGGCCGCAACCAATATTCCTTGGCTTTGGTGTGGGCCAAGATCACTCGAAGTGTCATCGCTGTGGGCTGTGAACATTTCTTCAAAATTGCTTTTTCGACACGGAAAATAACTAATAACAAAAGACTCTTCCCGAACCCACTGGTTATTCAAATGAACAGTAACATCGTTCACTCGAATCTTAAGGCTGCTTTGTGCCGAAAATGAACGAGACACTTGTCTTTCTGAGCTAATACTTGAGCCGGAGAGAGGTGTAGGAGTAAACGATTTACATTTCGATCTAGCATTATTTTGGCTACGCTGCGAGAAGTCAAGGAATTATACTAAAGATGAATGTTGTTGTAAACTGTCAAAACTAACCAATTAATTATAATAGGAGCTGGCATATGGAAGTAATTTTTCTCGAACAAACGTTTCAAACTCTCGTTCCGCGGCCGTTTCGCAGCGGAACACTTTCCATGCTTGTTGCTTGCCGCTACTTACTTCGTATCTATAGAAAAATTGTTATTTTTATGTGTTTATAGAAAATTGCAGCATTCCCACATCGTAACGTTGTATGGTACATCGTTGCTTGACATAAATGGAAAATTGAAAGTTATAATGGTCATGGAGCTCTGCAAAGGAAACTTAAAGAATCACATCTTCAGGAATCTCAGCAGAGCCCCCGCAGTTTCCGAAAATGCCGCCGCCTTGAGAGAAGCCTGTCAGTGGCTGAGGGAGATTTCCGACAAGGGGAGATTCACAGGGACCTTAAGTTGGAGAACGTATTGGTAGGAGACTTGAAGGGTTTTTATCTTTTCAACCTTTAAATAGAGAGTTATGATACATAGGTGACTCTAGATATTGCCAAAATGTGGAAAAAAGGAAAAAAAAGTCACTCCAAGTTATTGCAACAAGCAAACCTTCAATTAACACAGAAATGCCTTCAATATGGATTAACGGCAATGAATGGTAACAGGTTTACAAGATATGTGATTGAACAAATAAATGATTTGACATCTATTTAACGAATCGTTAGTGGTTTAGCGTTGTCAATACTCTTATCGACAACGATATTCTTCATCACAGTAGTCAAACTGTGAACTCACAAGGCGCAGCCGAGTGAGTCCAAAACAAATTCTAACCACTGTGATGACGAATATCGTTGTAGATAAGAGTACAGACCACGCTAAACCACTGTCGATTTGTTTTTTGTTTTTTCGTTTTTGTTGTTGTTGTTTTGTTACTCTTACCGACAATCGCAAGATTGCGCCATTACTGCCAAATGTGATAAAAATATAACTGGCGCACATAATTCAATTGTTGTTCATATGAAGTTGACTTGCTTAATAATCTTTAGCTAGCCTATCCTTAGACTATTGATTTCTCAACGCTGTGCATGCTTTCAGACACAGCCGACACAGATTTTATATCCACCCTGAATATTATGGTCGGAGATAACGTCTCACCGACTGTCTCTAACAAGTCTGTTGTGAAAAGATGGTCTTTAAGAGTCTTGTTCGAGTTAATGGCCGCAATAAATTTGGCATATTAATTTTCATTTTCTTTACTTAACCTATCAGAAACGAGTTCAGCGAAGATTACTGACGTCGGTGTTTCTAAAGGAGGAGAAGACATCACAGGTACTTTAGCGGGAACCCCCGTCTACATGGCACCAGAAGTGTTTCATTCTCGGTTGTACAACAGTAAAGCAGACATATACAGCCTGGGGTTACCTATGTGGGAAATGTGGTATAGGCGGCAGGCCTTCTGCGAGGTTTATTACAGGCCACCAACTATAGACGCTTTCTTCGCCTGAGTGGATAAAGGCAATCGTCCGCAACACTTGGTAAGATGCCATAAACCCCCAGGCCACTGGCAAACCACGATGGAAACTTGCTGGAAAACAGACCCAAATGAACGCCCCACCGCTGAGTGGTGCAATAAAGAGGCCAATCATCTTTATAAAATGTCCGTAGAAGAACTGTAACTTTGAAATTATTTTATACTTAGAACGTTGGTCTCAGTCTTCTACTCTATCTGTCCTAAGTGATAATGTGCCAGGAAGATAAGTCTTACCCAAAAATCAAGAAGAAAAAAATGTAAAAGTCAGCTTTATTCGTAGGCTAGGAGGATATGGAACCAAGGATGGTGCTAGAGAAGTAGGTCATCCATTTTCCGCAGGAATTGTTTTGTTTCGTTTTTTTTTGTTTTTGTGAGAGGTATAGCAGGAGAGAAATCCATTAGGGAAGGGAAGAAGTACCCTTGTACACCAACTCCTGTAGTTGTAGAAGCGGCAGCCATTTTGATACAAACAATTTGTTAGAGTTCACTCTGCCTTTCGTATTGAAGCAAGCTATATACTGAATTTTAAATTGAGCTTTTAACAAGAGAATTTGATTTGATACAAGTGCTATTAATTGAGAAAATGTCTTTTTTTTTTTCTGCACCTGATTTGTTTACAGAGAGTTATAATGGGGTCAACCGATAGCTGTAAAACGGCAAAAAAAAAGTAAAACTGCGTAAAACAGGCGTAAAAATTGACAAATTTAACCTCTGGTCGTAAAAAGAAGTTATCCGTTAAAAATATTCCTGGTGATATGAATGGAATGATGTTAACTATAGAGTGTTTGCACGTGACGTCACAGCTTTATCATCCGCCATTGTGGGGGAGTAAAGAACCAACATGGCGGATGCTGATGCCCAACAGACGTCTCAACGCGCTTCAGAAGAAAACATTATTCATGATATTCCTTTGTCTAATTATGCGAAATCACCTGCAAGTATTGTAAAGAAGCGTTATATTGATAAGATTTCGTGTGTTCGTGTTGATCCTCTTTTGATTCCGGACGAAAAGTTAAGTAGGGAATGCCTTCGTACTGTTGAAGCTGTTGAAGCTGTTGATCTCGTGTTGCATTTGGTTTCACAAACTAGTTTTTATACGACAGAACAATTTAAGAACTTTAAAGCTTGCAAACCTACAACCAAATGGTTTACGGTTTCATAACCAGCATTTTGGGGCAGATTTTCGCTTAAATTTTTCGCCTAGCGGCAAATTCTTCCATTTCAGTTGTTTATCCTACAAGCGTCGTCCAAACAATTACAAATTGTCCTGGTTATGTAATGAGTGTAAATTGCAAAGTGTTGTTGCTATGAAAAGCTCAAAACTATCCAAGGAGTCTTCCTCTCCCATCTCCAACACTTCTGATGATTCTGACATTATAAATTTGGGTGAAACTTACCATGTTGATGTTGAGAAATATGGGATAATTGCTGAACTATCTGCACATGACTTTGATGTGATTGAATCACCTAATGGGTGGCTTGAAAATAGTATTATACAGTATGCCCAATCACTTTTGAAAACAGTCAATCCAGCTATACAAGGATTTCAGCATACAAGTCTTGGAATATATTTAAATTTGAAAAAGTTGATGGGGATTTTGTTCAGATATTGCACACTGGGGGCAATCATTGGGTATGTGAAAGCTCAATTGGATGTGAAAAAGGATTTGTGAATTTGTATGACAGTCTTTTTCATGATGTTATTTTTAATGATCTGGAACAGCAAGTTCAGAACTTAATTGGTGAAGATTTCAAAGATATATCTGTTGTACCTGTGCAACAACAATCAAATGATTCTGACTGTGGTGTTTTTGCAATGGCTCAGTGCAACAGCACTTTCTTACAATCTGGACAAGGATATCCCAAACTTTGATGTAAATCAAATGAGATCTCATCTATTAACATGCTTAAAGAGTGGACTGATTACTCCCTTTCCTGAGGTTAAACAGTTGGTTATGTGACATTTTATTGCTTCATGAAGCATGAAGCAGTTCTTGCCTGAGAGCAAGGCATTCAAAGTCCACACTGTTTATCACCGAGTATTTATAAGTGTTATCAACAATGTAAAGAATGAATGCATGGCATCAACATGGAAAATGGGTTAAAACCCAAATGTTTGTGAATAAACTTATGAAAAAAATGCAAATGAAAAAAAATCATAATAATATTTCATCAATAGTTAATAAGTACAATCCATTCAATGTTGAATGCCCCATCAGTCAAATGGGATGGTAGGTGGGCAAAGATTGACAAGAGCTGAGCAAACTCTTAACATCCTGTCAATGAGAGGTACAGATTCACCAGATCTACAGGCAAGATAATCTGTTGGCAAAGTTTGTTGAAGGATGGTGTACTTCTGTCTCAATGTCCCAATAATTCTCTCAACGTGGATTCTCAGTGTAGCAATCTGTCTTGTCTTCTCTACATCAACAGGATCGAGTTGATCCTTTCCCTTTGTAAATGCTGGAATATTCAGGTCAGCATGACGGAACCAAATACTTTCATGCACAGTAAAACCTCTGTCAGCAAGGACCATATCACCTGGCAAAAGTTTCTCAAGAATTCCACACTTCTCAGTCAAAAACTTGTCTGATGTTCTTCCTCCCCAAGCCTCACTCACAAAACAAATTGTCCCTTGTGGTGTAACTCCAATTAAAACTTTGACAGTGTTGTGGTGTTTATAATTTGAAAAGGTCTGAGCTCTTGCAAGAAGGTTGGATGGCCGATCGATGAAAATTTCAAAACAATCAATAATAACTGTAGTTTTACGACCGAACGCATCCAAAAAACATCTAGGCATGGTCTTGTACAACTCATCACGACTAGGCCATTTAATAATTGGAGTTAATCGAATATCCATTACAGTTATCCAAGTAACTAAAATACGAGAGACAGAAGACGTCGAGATCTTTAGACGATATGCAAGATCAAGGTGTGGGACAGAAAGTCTTAGCTTCACTAACACCATACAAAACTCTTGAAACTTAGTTAGAACTCCACGTCGTCTATCAACATGTGATGCAACAAAGAAGAAGACTGTTTGCAGAATTTCAAAGGATGGCAAACCAGTGTAAAACTTAACTTTGTCATCATCTCCAGAAAAAAAAGCTTCGTCAAAATCAGAAGATGGCAAGTTCTGATGTATGGGCTCAGGCGAGAGCACAGTGTTACAGCTCAACTCTGTTTGGGTTACAGCATGCCTCAAGTTGTCGGGTAAGTTCTCAGAAATGTCCTCAATATCTGCCATTTCCACGTCGAATGATATGTTTTGAACACTATGGCCAGCTTCGTTGTGCTTTAATCGCTTTTTGGCAAGACTTATCTGAGAATTTTCAGAGTCTTTCTCGACCATGCGCTTTGTACGTTCTGTGGCTCGTCTGACTCTTTCCTGACTTTGCTGAACTGATGCTTCGCTAACCTTTAGTTTCTCGTGTCCAAGCTTAAGCGATGGTACCCAATCGACGTTCCACTTATCCCACAGAGGAGCAGCTATTCCAGAATGAAAATGTTCGCCGCAAACACGATCATTTTCAAGAATTTTGTCCGTAAGGTCGTCACGGCTTATGGCGGTCAGCCACCTTCGCCTACGTTCCGTTGACAAAATCTCCGTTTCTTCGCCTTGCCTCGTTACGATTTTGGGCACTCGACAAAAGGAAAGATCTTTTCGCTTAGACGTGTCGTGGGAACAGTTTAAAACCAAGCAAAATTTCGGCATAATGCAATAAATTGAGAAAAACGTTGGAAGATATAGTAGTAAACTGTGTTACTGCACGCCTCTTTACTCCCCCATAATGGCGGACAGTACAATTTTGTGACGTAGCTGTGACGTAGGTGCAAACACTCTATTNACGTGACGTCACAGCTTTATCATCCGCCATTGTGGGGGAGTAAAGAACCAACATGGCGGATGCTGATGCCCAACAGACGTCTCAACGCGCTTCAGAAGAAAACATTATTCATGATATTCCTTTGTCTAATTATGCGAAATCACCTGCAAGTATTGTAAAGAAGCGTTATATTGATAAGATTTCGTGTGTTCGTGTTGATCCTCTTTTGATTCCGGACGAAAAGTTAAGTAGGGAATGCCTTCGTACTGTTGAAGCTGTTGAAGCTGTTGATCTCGTGTTGCATTTGGTTTCACAAACTAGTTTTTATACGACAGAACAATTTAAGAACTTTAAAGCTTGCAAACCTACAACCAAATGGTTTACGGTTTCATAACCAGCATTTTGGGGCAGATTTTCGCTTAAATTTTTCGCCTAGCGGCAAATTCTTCCATTTCAGTTGTTTATCCTACAAGCGTCGTCCAAACAATTACAAATTGTCCTGGTTATGTAATGAGTGTAAATTGCAAAGTGTTGTTGCTATGAAAAGCTCAAAACTATCCAAGGAGTCTTCCTCTCCCATCTCCAACACTTCTGATGATTCTGACATTATAAATTTGGGTGAAACTTACCATGTTGATGTTGAGAAATATGGGATAATTGCTGAACTATCTGCACATGACTTTGATGTGATTGAATCACCTAATGGGTGGCTTGAAAATAGTATTATACAGTATGCCCAATCACTTTTGAAAACAGTCAATCCAGCTATACAAGGATTTCAGCATACAAGTCTTGGAATATATTTAAATTTGAAAAAGTTGATGGGGATTTTGTTCAGATATTGCACACTGGGGGCAATCATTGGGTATGTGAAAGCTCAATTGGATGTGAAAAAGGATTTGTGAATTTGTATGACAGTCTTTTTCATGATGTTATTTTTAATGATCTGGAACAGCAAGTTCAGAACTTAATTGGTGAAGATTTCAAAGATATATCTGTTGTACCTGTGCAACAACAATCAAATGATTCTGACTGTGGTGTTTTTGCAATGGCTCAGTGCAACAGCACTTTCTTACAATCTGGACAAGGATATCCCAAACTTTGATGTAAATCAAATGAGATCTCATCTATTAACATGCTTAAAGAGTGGACTGATTACTCCCTTTCCTGAGGTTAAACAGTTGGTTATGTGACATTTTATTGCTTCATGAAGCATGAAGCAGTTCTTGCCTGAGAGCAAGGCATTCAAAGTCCACACTGTTTATCACCGAGTATTTATAAGTGTTATCAACAATGTAAAGAATGAATGCATGGCATCAACATGGAAAATGGGTTAAAACCCAAATGTTTGTGAATAAACTTATGAAAAAAATGCAAATGAAAAAAAATCATAATAATATTTCATCAATAGTTAATAAGTACAATCCATTCAATGTTGAATGCCCCATCAGTCAAATGGGATGGTAGGTGGGCAAAGATTGACAAGAGCTGAGCAAACTCTTAACATCCTGTCAATGAGAGGTACAGATTCACCAGATCTACAGGCAAGATAATCTGTTGGCAAAGTTTGTTGAAGGATGGTGTACTTCTGTCTCAATGTCCCAATAATTCTCTCAACGTGGATTCTCAGTGTAGCAATCTGTCTTGTCTTCTCTACATCAACAGGATCGAGTTGATCCTTTCCCTTTGTAAATGCTGGAATATTCAGGTCAGCATGACGGAACCAAATACTTTCATGCACAGTAAAACCTCTGTCAGCAAGGACCATATCACCTGGCAAAAGTTTCTCAAGAATTCCACACTTCTCAGTCAAAAACTTGTCTGATGTTCTTCCTCCCCAAGCCTCACTCACAAAACAAATTGTCCCTTGTGGTGTAACTCCAATTAAAACTTTGACAGTGTTGTGGTGTTTATAATTTGAAAAGGTCTGAGCTCTTGCAAGAAGGTTGGATGGCCGATCGATGAAAATTTCAAAACAATCAATAATAACTGTAGTTTTACGACCGAACGCATCCAAAAAACATCTAGGCATGGTCTTGTACAACTCATCACGACTAGGCCATTTAATAATTGGAGTTAATCGAATATCCATTACAGTTATCCAAGTAACTAAAATACGAGAGACAGAAGACGTCGAGATCTTTAGACGATATGCAAGATCAAGGTGTGGGACAGAAAGTCTTAGCTTCACTAACACCATACAAAACTCTTGAAACTTAGTTAGAACTCCACGTCGTCTATCAACATGTGATGCAACAAAGAAGAAGACTGTTTGCAGAATTTCAAAGGATGGCAAACCAGTGTAAAACTTAACTTTGTCATCATCTCCAGAAAAAAAAGCTTCGTCAAAATCAGAAGATGGCAAGTTCTGATGTATGGGCTCAGGCGAGAGCACAGTGTTACAGCTCAACTCTGTTTGGGTTACAGCATGCCTCAAGTTGTCGGGTAAGTTCTCAGAAATGTCCTCAATATCTGCCATTTCCACGTCGAATGATATGTTTTGAACACTATGGCCAGCTTCGTTGTGCTTTAATCGCTTTTTGGCAAGACTTATCTGAGAATTTTCAGAGTCTTTCTCGACCATGCGCTTTGTACGTTCTGTGGCTCGTCTGACTCTTTCCTGACTTTGCTGAACTGATGCTTCGCTAACCTTTAGTTTCTCGTGTCCAAGCTTAAGCGATGGTACCCAATCGACGTTCCACTTATCCCACAGAGGAGCAGCTATTCCAGAATGAAAATGTTCGCCGCAAACACGATCATTTTCAAGAATTTTGTCCGTAAGGTCGTCACGGCTTATGGCGGTCAGCCACCTTCGCCTACGTTCCGTTGACAAAATCTCCGTTTCTTCGCCTTGCCTCGTTACGATTTTGGGCACTCGACAAAAGGAAAGATCTTTTCGCTTAGACGTGTCGTGGGAACAGTTTAAAACCAAGCAAAATTTCGGCATAATGCAATAAATTGAGAAAAACGTTGGAAGATATAGTAGTAAACTGTGTTACTGCACGCCTCTTTACTCCCCCATAATGGCGGACAGTACAATTTTGTGACGTAGCTGTGACGTAGGTGCAAACACTCTATTAGCTGTAAAAGCCACCACGAACGTATGAGTAGTGCTCAATTTATTTTAGTGCATTTATTTTCTTTGTAGTCCTTAGCTTGTTATTATGTCTAGGAACTACACAGTGATCATCAGTAGCATCCACTGTATTATGCGATAAAGAAGTGATCCAGTTGCAAACCTTCTTCTAAGGTGGACTTGATATAACGGAGCATTCTATCTTAGATGTCCATTACATATATATATGGACTAAATATGAAATTTTTCTTCAGTCTATACAATTTGATTTGGTGAAATAAACTTCCTAGTTAAGACTCAAAAAAGGAGTCGCTATATTTTTTCACAATTAGCCGCTTCGTGAGCAACAACACCGCTTTGTTTGTTCAGATCTGTTCGTTCTTGAAACGCATGAGAGGAAGACAATAAAGAACGCAGGGCACTGCCGATAACAATGCTTCCCTTATTTTTGTGGAATTGTCTTGGGGAATGTTCATATTTTGTTTTCTTATACAGAGCGTAAATTTTGGAGAGCCGATTTTCCATCGCTGGCTGCCAAAAAATGAAGTGGGTCAAGAGAGGATAACTAGATATGTTCCGAATGCCGTTGACAATCATGTTGACTGGAGGCGTAAAACTACTCACACAACCAAATAGGGGAACAAAAGGAAATAAGTCGAACCACATGCCAAAGTATGGTAGGCGGCAATACTCTTAATTCCTATGGGTGGAAATCATCCTTTCTCGTATCGGCGAAAATTGTAGAGGAAAAGAATTAGGTTTTTACGGAATCGCCGGGATGTTATATTGCATGGAATCGCATCATTGAGTACAATCTCGCATTCTGATTGGTTAACGAAGCGAGGTATTTAGCGTGGAATTGCCAGTTGAAAACGAGGCTAAGTGAAATTGTTTCGCATCTACATAAGCATAACAACTATAGTCAAATCGTTACAAAGTTTGGTTTCTGAGTCAATTTAAAATGTTTTCAAAACCATTGTCACCTTTTAAAGAACCAGAAACAAAAAAGCGTTTCTCAAAGTGAGCCTGAGGTTCTTCCTTGTTTTGAACTGAACTATAAATTCTTGGAGAGGCATGAAAAGCCTCTTTCGCTCGCGACAACGTGAAAGCGAGAAAATCCTGTGAACACGGCCCAGAAAAAACAATATCCGAGCTAACAGATCACGCCAACCCGAGTTGAATATCCACCTACAGCCATAATCTTTTAGAAAAACAACGAAGGATGTCAAACAAGTTGGCTGGGTTTTCAGTCGTACTACTACGACTGTCACTGCTGCCAACGCAAGCGGCGGTCCACACACTGAAGCTTTGTGAGAAATTAATGTTAACAGCCTTGCACTTCCATCAGAAGTCGGCAATAACACAACAACGTAACAATGAATAACGGTAGTGATGGTCTAACAGCAAGAGTTCTAGGTGGACTGTTCACCAATGCATCTTTCAACAACTCTCCAGTGAACATTGCATTTCCATAAGTTTTCAGTTGAATGCTCATTCCAACGATTCAGCTAATGGCAGTTGCCTGTAGTGAATTTCTAAAAATAAAAATATCAAAGTATTTGGACTGTTCATGAAACACTTCTTTGTTTTTAAAGAAATAAAATATCAATACACGTATTTTCATTTCAAGGTACTTTTATTAATCGCAATGTTAAACTTTCAGTGCTTTCGCTTGTACACTTCATTTCTTTCCGTTTTGCCACCAAAGAGATAAAAGGTGTAAATTATTTTCCTTCACGAGCAAATTCAGTGGAAATTTGAAAAAAAGATGTTAAAAATAAACGGCTTGTAAATTCAGTGAAATACCACCAC